TGCCCATGGTCTCACCCACATGTGAGGTGACAGCAAGCAGGCACAGCCACCCACCCTCCTCCCCATAGTGTCTGTCAACCGTTTCTAAAAGACCTGGAAATAGTTATAATGGTGGAAAGTGGCTTATGTAATTGGTCCATGTGTCCCTTTGAGGGAAAGTGTCCTAGTTGCTAAAGCACATTGTAGATGGCGGTACACTTTGTATCACAGGGAACGATTTTCAATTTTAGTCAATCTGTCATGTCTTGGAGGCTCTATGTTAAATTGTATTTGTATCAAGAGGTAAATACCCATTAATTCATTGTATTGCTTATTATTTAAATTCCAGAACATTTGAATATTTTTACTGTTGTCTCAGCCCCTCTATATTACAGAAAATTTTTACTATGCCATGAACATTTTTAAAAATAGGGGGGAAATTCTGAATTATTTGAAACATTTATTCCTTCCTACTAATTAATTAATTAATTAACTTATTTATTTACTCCTTCCTAGCATTTCCAAATGTCATGTCAGTATCTCTGATGTTGGTGATATCCTACCTTCCAGAAGTTTTATTATTTTAATTCCTCTTTCTTACCTGTCCTCTACATTTATCTCATATATAAACTCACCTATTCATCCCTCCATTCAAATATACTGTATTTCCCCATGTATAAGATGCACCTTTTTTTGAAAAATTTGGGGTCTTTCGAAAAACTGGGTGCGTCTTATACATGGGGAAACATGGTATTTACTGAGCATTCAACAGTATTCCATCAACACCTATTTAGTGAGTTCTTCTACGCATCAGGCACAGGGTTGTAAAGAGAAATAAGGTACAATCCTTACTTACCCTCTAGGAATTCAAAGTCTTGGAAGGGAAAATAGACGTAGATATTTAATTGCAATGAAATGTCACTATTGTGAACAGGTTTGACTGAAACACTTCAGGAGCACAGAAGGAGGGAAGGGGAACAGGCACATCCACGAGAAAAAACTTGACCGAAAGACCTTAGCGCTTAGTCTGGAATAAGAGTTTGTCAGGAGACAGGGGCTCTGGGCACAGAAGAAACGGAGCGAGCGGGGATGCACAGAAGCAGGGGCAACACGGCCATCTGCAGGAACAGAAAGCAGCTCAGTGTGCACACAGATTCAAATATACGCCAAGGAGCTGAGGGCGAGAGGTGAGGGGCACTGGACTGGCATGCTCCCTTGTGTAAGCGGATCAGGGTGGGCTCGGAGCAGCGGCTGTTTGGTGCAGCTGGTAACCACCCCAGATTTGTACGAGGGAAAAGGAAGACGTCGTAGCAGTGAGGAAGACGGCTACAGTAGAAATAAAGTAGGACTAGATGGGTACAGTCTGCTGGGCGGAAGCTGCGGTACCCATCTCGGGGGGGGGGAGGTAATGAGCAGAGGTTGGGGTGAAACAGAAGAGGCGGATCCAAAAGTCGTTTCTGAGACAGAACCTACAGAAGCTGGCAAGTAACAGTGTATCTATATATGTGTGCAGATGTTGTGTGGGAGTGGGTAGAGGGATGAGAGCAAGGCAGGAATGAAGGATGTGCCTACCAGTTTTCTGATTTATTTATTTTTTCTCCCTTAGAAAACTGAGCAGACTTTGACGACATTCACGGAGAAAGATTCTAGGAACGGAAGTAGCATGACAGGCAACGGTGGAGGGAAAAAGGAAGGCAGTTGGTTTTCACTGTGGACATCCTAAGCTTGCCGTGACTGTGGAGTAATGCTACACGGAGGCGACCCAGTAGGCAGGAGGACACGTGGAAATGAAGCCCAAAGAGAATTGTTGGGTAGAGTTAGGCTATGGAGCCATCAATATATTTGGTATTTACAGTCAAAAGAGTAGGGAAGGTCCCCCAAAATGGGGGGAGGCCAAAGGGGAAGTTTTAAGAGGGGAGCAGGAAACAACATGTTGACATGATAACCAGAAAAATGAAAGCATCAAGCGATGGGGTCTTACAACCCATGGAAAGGAAAGGGGTGTTCTCTCCCGATAGCCCATGGGGTTTATATTCTTACACCGATTCCACCTAGGAGTAAAGCGGTGCCCTGCGTGGTTGCTGACTCAGAGCTCACATATCAGTAAGCAGCAGAGACAAAAGGAGAACCAAAGACAGCATAGTTCTCCTCAAAAACCCATCGCCTCTTCTGCAACAGCCCCATTTGATGACCCAAAAGCTCCAGCTTCTCAATTTACCCTACATTAAATGCGGTCATCTCTCTGCTTGGGACCACTGGTTGCTATAATCAAGAGCCCATTTCTCCCCTTCCTGATCGGCCACAGGTCTGTGCTTCACCAGCCGAATCTGCCTCTAATGCTCTACCACCAGCCTGCCTCCCTACATCTGTCTACTCCTCTTCCTCTAATTGAGATGCGCCCCCCCCCCACCACCCTTTGCCACAATTCGGGGTTCTGACCGCCTACCAGGAACAATGCAGACCTCATCTTCCCTACTGAGTGACTCCCCCTATTAGGAAGAGTCCATTATCCTGTGCTCCATGGGCACTGTTCATACACATACAAAGAATTGTTTCCTTTGCTTACTTGAAAATTTTCAAATATGTCTATTCTTTCTTCTCCATCAGCCTAGCCTAAAAGGCCTTCAAAGGAATAAGTGGCTTTCCAGAGTCAATTGTCAATCTTATTAATTGAATATAAGAGTAGGGGTAGGGATGTGATGTTAACAAATGCGAATGTGGTGCGGCTGCCATAGGTTCGAAGGACAAAGAATAGACCAAAATAAACACCAAATGTAAATAAGGGAACTGGCTATTCAATCTTTTAATGTAATATGACGTAGGAGAGTATAAGTGGCCAAAAGTGGTGGCACTTATCATCCGGCTTTGCAGCTTTTACAGGAAACAGCTCTTTAGCCAGTGTTTAATTTTGTTGTCTCAGCATACAAATTCACTGCACATAACTATTTGAAGAAACCATTTTCACAAGGTGGATCAACATCTGTACTTATATTATCATGGAATACATAAAACAACAGCATTTCGAATGAAATAGTATTGTCCTTTTAGACTTGCCCTTCAATGTGTATTCTAAAAAATGCATGCCAGCATTACAGCTGGGCACTGAGCTGTGCAGGCCAGAGAATGGCCAACACACCGTTCCAGGGCTAACGGTATCTAAGGGCAACACAACATAAGCCCTGGCTGCTTTCTGAATCTCCATTTCCAGGCTAGAATGAAAGCAGTGAAACTAAACAGAACGTCATGTAAACACCCCAGACCAGACATCATACAATAGACAGTTGTTTACTTTGGAAGCCAGACCTAAAAAAATGAATCGCAGAACTGTTCTTTCATTATTTCCATATTACTGAAAACACACACAAATATTCTCAGGTTCCTTTTTGTGGGTTTGAACGCCTACGTTCTTCCTTATTTTAAATAAAAAAGCAACTGAATACCTATCCACGTGGAATAAGCATACAGCGAGTGGCCTACTTGGCAAGTCCCCATAATTGGCTCTTTCTTTGAAAGCTAACAGATGAAGAAGTCATAGAATTTTTTACGTTGGACAAATGCTTTAAAATACACCAAAAGCAGAAATGGGAGACATTACAGCATGCCATTCATTTCCTGCACAGAATTTTGAAAAGAGCTAACAATTTACTTAGGTGCTCTATTTAAGCAGCATTTGGAGACATTAAATTGGCAGTATGTCTTACCATTTACTGAGACCTTGCAATATGCCTGATAACAAGGTAAACTTTATATCCCATGCAACCCTCACAACAGTCCTCAGAGGTGAGTGCACCTGCTGGACAGTAGGAAACTGAAGTGAAGACAAATTAGTAAGTTGCCCGAAGTCACATAGCTAATGGCCATCAACATCAGAACTTCAACCCGGACAGCCTGATTTTGCTGGGCCCCAATTCTTAATCTCTGATGCGTTCTCTTGAGTGCTACTTACTTTCTAAAGACTAAAATATTTTTCCAGTAAAAGTTAAAATAATATAATGCCCTGTTTTGTAATGGGTCATGTGAACTTGAAATTTCCATGTGCCATGAAAGTTACCTAAACAGAGAAGACCCCATCAAACCTAACGTAAAGGCAGGAAAAAAGAAAAACAAGAATGCATAAAATTAACTGCACCCTGCAGTGTGTATAAGGAGAAATGTTATTCCCAATGTTCATTAAATAAGTTTGCTATCACCAATAATTATTTATTATCAGTCTTTGCTAGTGTGCTTCTAATCAAGCAAGTAGTACAAGAGATTTTTTGAAAATTTTTCTAAATATTCGGGGTATGAAATAGTATATTAACGAGTTATATGCTAGTACTCTTCAAAAAGTAATTTTGTTTTCCAAACTTGCTAATTTAATTTACTCTAAGGGTAAATATAAGGTTATTAAGGATACGTCACATATTTTTATTAATACTTTGCCCTGGCTTACTGTCACACTTCAAAGTCCACAAATAAACCCAGAACAGGGGAAAAATAAAAGCCATTGCCAAGTGCTCCATAACAAAGCAACCACAGAAATGTACCCTTTACAATATGTCATTGACTGGTCTGTAAGGAACGTTGCCCACTTGAAAAAAAAATTATGTATCATCAGCAATCCTTCAAATTATTGGTCCCTAATTTTTCAGATCCACCATTCATAAGAAGGTTCCATTAATTAGGCATTAGGAGTAATTGTCCTACTAAGTCACTTGAAAGCAAATACACTGGCTGTTCAGCATTTTCAGGTTCAGAATCTTCCTGGCAAGAGTAGAATTTAGAGCACTTAGTAGGACCACTGCATCTAAAGGAAGCGAATTCTACTCCTAGTAAATCCTAAGAGCTCTTAGAATGAAAGGAACACTAATAAAAGAATACGCAGAGGAAGATGCTCTCGAAGAAAATCTTTTTTTTTTTTTTAATTTCATCCAAGACAAATGGTAAAAGATTAAATAATAGCACGAGGGAATTCAACCAGGCAGGCTGAAAGTATCAAAAAACATTTCTTTGTGTACATACCATCAGAAAACGTTCCTTACCATGTACTCCATATTAGATGCGGTCGGATACACCTGACTTCGTAATTTATTATGGAGGTCCAAGATACTCTGCATGTCATTGTCTGTGATGGCCCGTTTCCCTCTTTGCTTGGCCGTCCACCACTCACCATCCTCTTCCATGTACTTTTCCAAGAGTTTCTCCAACAAAGTGGCATTAGGAACCACCATGGCTGGAATGGCTCGAGCCATGAATAGCACTGTGGTTACTCTCAGCCACTCCTGCGCGGTACACTTCATAATGAAGGATCTCAGGATTTCCCCGGGAAAATCTCCAAGACAGGTTCTTCCACTCCTTTGGGCTATAACGACATGCAGTGTGATGAAGGTGAAAATCTAGGCACGCATTAATTCTCTAAGAACAAAAGTAAACCAAGTTACAAAGGGACCGTGCCAGTTTAATCTGTCTACATAATGCCTGCAAATGGACGTGCGCTTTTGAAATAACGTTATCTCCAACGTGTTTTTCCTCCAGGGGACTTTTCCTCATGCATTGTTTCCACAAAATTGACTACTATACGTTCCAGGGTGCTATGCACGAGGCCAAAAATAAATGGTAAAAGTAGCCCGACAGAGTCCAAGCTCGAAAATCATTTCTGAATTACAAGGCTTTAAACGGCTGTCATTAAATCCAGCCTTTAATTAAAACACTGCCCACCTAGGATGCTTTCTGTCACTCTAGAGGTCCATGGTTCTGTGTTTTACGGTATTTATTTTATCCCAGCGTCCCATCTCCAGTTCGCAGACAGGCAGAATGCCCACAACATTCTGAAGCTGAGGTGGCTGTTTTAAAGAGGCACACAATGTTATTCCTACGCGTATCCACGGGTACGGCTCGAGGGCCTCGAGGACGCATGCGGACGCATGGGGCTCGGGTCCCTGGGGGAAGCCTCTTCTGCAGGCGCACGCCAAGGCGAACTCATTATTTCCTGGAAAGTGCGCCTACCCTTGTGGCCGGCACCCGATAAAGCCGACAGTGCGCCGGCAACTTCGGAGCTCCGCCTGCCACGCGCCCCGGGCGCACACCGTTCGCTTAGCCCCAGAGGAAAGCGCGCGCTGGCAGGGGGAGGTGAAACTAACAAAGTCACTTACGAGAACCAGCTCCCGGTCCCCTCCACCGCCGCTGCTTTCCCAGTAGCCCTCCCCTTGCGCCTGATCCTTCTGAACACGTTAGGTTTTAGTTAAAAGTGGACGTTGGGAAAAAGAAGGTAAGATGGTAAAAGGTGGGAGCCTGACGACTCAGCGGTGAGTTTTAGAAAGGTGCTTACCTCTCCAGTGTGAAGCTCCCTAGGAGAGCAGAGCCCCGCAAGACGGCCGGCCTCCCGCAGCCGTCCCACTCCACGC